ATTGCCTCAGGTCATTGCGACTGAAGCCAGCACCCCGGCCTCTTGCTTTGCTCTGTGCACGAGCTCTCTCAGGCGATTCGAGAGCCCCACAGCAAACAAGCATTCCTGACTTAGCAGAAAGGAGACTGTTGAGGAATGGAAACATTGCGAAGCCGCTTCGGTGCAAGAGAGCCGTAAGGCATTAGCGTCATCACTCCTGTCTGAGACTCCCGCCTTGCCGTGAGCAAGTACGGGCGGGCTGTTTCAGGCATCTCGCACCAATGCGGTAGAGGCTTCTTTCAAGCTTCATCACTCCTGTCTGAGATTTCAGCTTGGAGTGCATCGGCACGAGCTGCCGGCGCTGCCGTCGAGTGACCCTGCATCAAGCCCGGGGACGTGCCTTTCGGCCCTCCGTCCACATCTCAAGTTCTGGTCGGACGATGAGCCTGTGCCGTTGCCTTCCACGTTCCGTAAGGGGATGGCAGCTTGATGGCCGAAGACTGGCATGAACTGATGGCGTTAGCCGCCTTTCTCGATGGGCGCATGGTGGAGATGCTGAGTCACATGTTTCGCTACGACGCCAGAAGCCGGAAGCTCAGCAGAGCAGGCAAAGCCGGCAAATTAGGTCCTCCCGTGCCGGGCTGAGCCCTTTGCAACCACGTCGGCTTCGACTGTTGAGATCAAAGCTCTTTCGCCACAACATCGAAAGCGGACGGACTGTTCCTGCATCGTTCTCTTCTTTGTGCGAGCCAGCCTCCCAAATCAAGGCCGGGCAGGACCATCCACGCCCGAGAGCCCTCCAGATCCTAAACCCTAAACCCTAAACCCTAAACCCCTAAACCCTAAACCCTAAACCCTAAACCCTAAACCGTGCCTCCAGATCCCTCTAGAACCTCGCCTTTGGTTCCTGGAGAGAGCTGACGCAGACCCCGTCATCCTCCGGTCGCGGAGCAATCCACAGCAGGGCAGCAAGTCATTATGAAACAATGGACTAAGCGCATAGGGTTTAGGGTTTAGGGTTTAACCCAGTAAAAACCGAGCGGGGATAACGCCTCAAAGCCATGGTCTGAGTTCTAAATGCAATGGAGGCTTTCCTCTCCTTCGCTGAGTGGCGCTTGCTTCTGCAAGGGGTTCCCTGAGCCGTGGTAGAGCTTTCCCGAGCTGAGAGGACAGCCGTACGACCTTCATCCCTAAACCCTAAACCCAGAACCCTTAAACCCTAAGCCCAGAACCCTAAACATTAGGCCGTTGATCACATGAGGAGGCAGCCAGGCTTTGCCCGGGCAATGCCTGTGGCCTTGGAGGTCTTCCAAGGCTGCCAAACGGCAGTCTCTGAAGTCTGTGGCAACACTCACCTTTAAACCCTAAACCCTATCGGTCCGCATTGTGCAAGCCTCTACCTGGGCAGCACTCTGTGGGGCTCATGCTTGAGAAGGTGATCGATTCGTGCATGATTAGCCATTTCATGCGTTCATGGCCGACATGCTGCCACCGTGAGTGGGGCAGAGCAGAGCATAAAGCAAGGAACATGCGCAGTGCTGCAGTGGGATGCATTCTGGGCTTGAACTTTGCATTTGCAGCGCACGTGCGGGACAGTTTGTGTTTCCGTTCCAGATGTGTGCAGCCACTCTACGCCTGAAGTGATGTCACGGAGAGGGAGGACCGTGTCAAAGTGAGCGTGTCAATGAACTGCTCTGACATCGGTTTGACAACATGCCCATGGGAACAGCCGACAGGCTTTTCACATTCGCCGCAGTACGTCAGGCCCAGTCCATTCGCTGATGTTGTGTTTCATTTTATGATGCTGAAGCAAGCCTTGCATTCGACACGTTGCGGGTGCCCTGCCGGCTGGATTTATGGAAGCATCGGCTTCAATCGTTCGCACCCGAAGCCCGAGTCTGTGAGGCGGGCAACGGCCGTCGCTTGAGGACTCCGACTCTCACGCGCAGTCTTGCAGCACACAGGTGCTGCGAGTGGAGCAAGAGGGGCTGAGAGGTTGCAAAACCCTAGTTGCACAATCGTGTGTGAATAGTGAGTTTCTGAATGAGCAATTTTTGCGCCAAGTGCTCCGGATGTCTTTGGCCAGCTCTGCAGGTGTTGCAGCCTCGCGATCTCCTGCCCGTCTGAAGGGCCCTGATCGGCTACGGGCTTCTTGGGGACGGTCGCTGACAGTATAGGCTCTGTCCGCTGTCCTGTTGTCGGGAAGTCTTTAGTCCATGTGCTCGTGCCGACACGATGCCCGAGACGAGTTTACCGGTCGATTTATCCCAACTAGAGCAGGGATGAAGAGACAGCAGAGACGGCAAGCAGAGAAAGCATCCTCCGGAAGCTTCTGCTGGGCGCTGCCAAGCCCAATCCAGAACCGAAGGATAGGTTTCTTGACGTTTTCTGGTGCAGTGCGGGCCCGATCCTTACGTGACACATCTTTCGAGGCGCTGATGCGGGGTGCTTGTGGGGAAAGTTGTTCAGTCTCTACCATGGATCTTTGACATCGGCTGGCTTCATATCACTCAGCACCTTGATGCACCATGCTCTTGGCCTGCTTGGCCGTATTCGCGTGCAGGACTGATTCTAGTTGGATGGAGTTTTGGGGCTCTGGCCGTGTCAGCTCTGCTCTGCCACTTCGAGAAGCTTTGCCTGATGCCTCCCGCGGTCATTTTGCTGGATCCCCGATCTGCCGGACCTTTGTCGCAAGTCTCGCAGAGTTTGGGCTGCTTCTTTACGTCGACCGAGCTGCCCGGGTTTCCCTCGACCATGCTCGCGGTAGACTTTTTGGCGCCACGGACGGGCGCACGCAACACTGAAGAAAGCAAAGGTCACTAGTGGCCAAGATTTGGATGGCATTGGGGAGAGTCTGAACTTTAGACCAAAACCTGCTTGAAAGCAGCACCGGGTCAAGGGGGAGCCAGGTCGTCGGGCATGTAAATCCCACGCAAGATCACGCTCGTGATTGGCGGAAGAGTCAACAGGAAGAGTCTTCGAGTTTTCACCCCGACAGCAGCAGATGCCTCCATCACGTGCACAGGTGAGATTTTTGATGTGCTCGCTGCGGGCAGTTCCCTGTAGCGAGAGCAAACCAGCTGAGTCCACGCCGCCCAAAGCAGGTGGACATGTGAAGATAGGCTGCGGACACATTTGCCGCTGCGAGAACGGCTGAGTCCTGGATGGTTTTGCTGCGGACACAGTTGCTGCAGCGAACAATCTTGATGCCAGGACAGCAGCATCGTTGTCCATCGTGTCACCCAAAATGGGTGGACATGTTGAGATGTTAATGTTGTGGCTGCAGACACATTTGCTGCGGCAAGCAAATCTTGATCCCAGGACAGCAACAGCTTTATCCATCATGCCGCCCCTTTTGTTGGGCGGACAGGTGGAGATTTTGATGTTTTCGCTGTGGACACATTTGCTGCAGCGAACGCTTGGCCCTACTCTGGTTGGCTGTGAGGACTTCAGCTTCTTGTGTATCTACGCTGCTCACCCCTAAACCCTAAACCCTAAGCCCTAAACAAGGGACCCAACCGTTTAATGTTTAGGAGGAGTTCAGACGTCTGCCAAGCAAAATCTCCCCTGACAGACGTGCAGGTTGGGAGTCAGGATTTCGCGAGTTGACAGCGAGTAGCGATTGTTGCGTATCGATCTGATGCACATCTTGAGAATTGCAGACTCCCAAGTTGTACTTGTTGTTTGAATCCGTAGCTCCCCAACTTCAAGATCAACATTACGAGAGGAAAAAGGGCATCCTTGCTGCTGACAGTGATTGTGACGGCGCCATTCTGACGATAATGGCCATGATGACGTTCCATGCTTCTTCATGTAGCGGTTCAACCAGACAAGCGTTCTGATGCAAAGCCTGGATGTCTGTGCCACTATCGCCGAGACCCGTGCGACGCGCAACGATCTCAGAAGACACATAGTAGCAGGCTCTCTGCACGGGGCCTGTTGAAAGGAGTCCTGGGCACATCCGTGAATTCCGTGATGTGTAATCCCTCGTCCGGATGCTCCTCCGAGACTTGTATCGTTGCATGCGCACATGCACAAATGCACACGTGCGCACATGCATCCATCTAAACCATCCCATCACATCCCATCAACCCCATCCATCCGCCTGCCCACCCACCCATGCATGCATGCATGCATGCATGCATGCATGCATGCGCGCATACATGCCGTGCATATGTGCCTTCGACTGAGACCAACAGCAACTGAATGCATGAAGACATGTGGGGGATGAGCCATGCAGAGTGCTGAGAGCATGTGGCCTCATCACATCACCATCAAGACTAGCACCAGAACCAGCCCCAGCATCATCATCAGTGGCATCATCAGTAATCCTCCTGCTCCTCCTCTTCCTCCTCCTCCTCCTCCTCCTAATCTCCTCCTCCTAATCACCATCATCATCACCGTCATCGTAAGAATTACCGTCGTCGTCGTCCTCCTCCTCCTCCTCCTCACATCCTCGTCCTCCTCCTCCTCCTCCTCCTCCTCCTCGCATCATCCTCCTCATCATCCCCATCCGCATTCGCATCGGCATCCCCATCCCCGTCCCCATCCCCATCTCCTCCCTTACTGAAAGACATTCCGAATGCATCTGGCCCAGCGTTGACATCATCCGAGCGAACACGTTTGCACTTTGCTGGGACGTACTTGCTGGTTCCACTGACTGCAGCTGGAGACACCGATGCGTTAGAGACTGCACCACTACACCGCACATCCAGCCGCTCCCATTGGCCCAGCCATGGCAGGAAGCCGGAAACGGCCCAGCGAGGCCTGCGCTTTCCGCAGGCTGTGCCACGGTTTGCGTCTTGAAGATGCCGCCAGGGCCTACAGCGCGGGAATGAGCAGCTCCGGAAACAGCCACTTGCAGCAAGATGGATGTTGTTTTTTGTGGACCCAATGGCCTTGTAGTCTTCGGCAGGGTGCATGTGTCATGGATTTCCCAGTCCTGCCTCAGCAGGGTCTTGCGGTTAGGCAATCCGAAGCTCCGAAACAGATTCTCGTTGATAATGTCACAGCTACATCAGGCAGAAGACTCTTGACATCCAGCTGGCGCAGTGGCCGGGAGCCTAGATGGTGCTATGCAGCGCCTTAGGCTGCAATCCTTTTGCGGAATGGTTGGCTAAATGATGAAGGGCTTGTCCATGCAGCTGTGTGACATGTTTGAGAGAGAGACTAGCCCACTTGGGAAGAGAACTGGTGATCTGGTAGGTCGTCAGCTCAGCTTGAGAAGCCGGGTGCCAAGTGATGCCAGCTGTCAAAGGTGAGGTCAGACATTCGGATCTCACGTAAGAGATTCGCCTGTTTTGGATCAGACGTGTTTCCGTCGTTCAAGGAGTCTCCTGGAGCTACCTGCAGAGGCACTGCTGCAGCCACCTTAGAGATGCATTCACATGCCTGTGGCCAACGGGACACTTGTGACTGTTCCTGGTGAGGTCTGAGGCGCACCTGCCCCACCCTCTCCCCAGAACCCCACCGCATGGCTTCCGGGAGTGCAGACAGCCGCTGTGGCGGCAGTTTCAAGCGAAAGGCACATCGACAGATGTCATCAGAGTAGGGAGCCGAGGATGTTGCAGGAAGATCCAGTCCACCTGATCGCCTTGCAGTGCCTGCAGCAGCAGCTTAAGGTCACAAGCACAAAATGGCATCCTTGCATTATGTGCCAAGGCGCAGACAGCAGGGTAGCAATGCTTCTACATCATCTGGAAGCACCGCGAGCACGTGTGCGACTCAGGGCGACGGCCCTCCACAGGACGCAGACTTTGCTTCAGCTTGCATAACCCGTGAGTGGCTCACCTGGAAGGAGCTGCCAGACCCGGACTCGGACAGCGAGCTTGGGCTTCACAACGGTGCTGCCAAGGTGTGCAAGCCATAAGTGAGAACTTGAGGCGCTCATGTGCGTTGCCTGTGTTGCCATGCACGCAGTGTGCAGAGGCCTTTCTGAACAGGAACGAGCTGGCAGACTGGTATGTTGCCAGGGCCTGGCGCTTGCATCAGCAGCAGATATGGGCGCGAGCATGTCCCCGAGACTTTCCTAAGGCATGCAGGCCCGAGATGCGGATGAAAGATGGAGAGCAGGCCACTTTGAAATTCTGAGTGATCACCTTGTAATCTGGCTTGCATCTACCCTTGCGTCAAATGCCACCCGCAACTTGCGGGTCGTGTCGGGGCTCAACTATTTTGGCTATCACAATCCCGTCAATAGTTAACAGTGGACCTTGTGTATCTCAACTACCCCCATTCTGCTAACGTGAACTGCCTTGTTCTTGAAGCTTTGCCAAAACTCCCCTATCGCCGAGCAGGATGCCCGCGACGAAGAGCAACAACATGTCGACGAGCGGCCAGCTTGGAGCCCGGACCGACAGCCGACGGGAGAGCCATCCTGAGCTGGAATCCGATTTCGGGGCGTATTGACTTGGGTCTGCAACTGTGAGGCCTCGGCCAAGCCAGAGCATGGCGACCACCACACCTGCATCGACGACTGCATCGACGCGAAAACGTTCTCGATCTCTTTTGGCGAAGCTGAGCGACCCGCCTTGACATGGTGCCCACAAAAGTTTTCAGTCCTGCCTTGATTTGGAAATCACTTCCATGGTCGGGCTGCTATTTGGAGCAGGCCGAGGAATTGAAATCCTGAAATGCTTTCCATAGCTATAGCAGCTGTAGCCTGAGGCTGAAGCGTGTGGATGACCAGTTGGTGCAGCGCAACGTCCAGCAAAGTCAGTCGAGAGCCGAGACACGGAAACAGGGCTCAACCTTTGTGGGAGCAGGGGCTGCAGAGCCAGTTTTCAATCATGGGAGCTGTGTCAGACTGTCAACCATGAGCCTACACCGATTCGGGCTGAAATTCACCTCCCCGTCCAAGCGCAGAAGGAGCGCCGAGAGTGCAATGTCATGGTCTGAGATGTCGTGCATCAGGCAGAAGAGAATCCACAAGCTCAAGATGCAGCAAGGGCCTGAGGATCAAGGGGAGAGAGAGAGAGAGGACCGAAAGAAAGAGGAACCCTCTACCACAGCCCTTGCGAAAGACAGAGAGAGAGAGAGAGAGAGAGAGAGAGGGCGAGCCTCCACTTGGGGGCTGGCCGCTAAGCCTTGCGAAAGAAAGACAGAGAGGGCGCGGCGCCCCGATACCCTGCGAAAGAAAGTCAACAATCGCTGTGCGATAGATTGCGAAGGTTGTCCAGACGGAAGAAGTTGATCTCCAAGCTCCAGCGAAGGCTCCTCGAGACTCGGTCCGCCCCCCATGCGAGCCAACTGCGCTGACATGCTGAGCAGCAGTACGAGCTCAGGCGCTGCAAACTGGAGCCGCCGCTGGCAGAATGCTGCCCTGACAGGGCTGATGCAGCTTGCCAGACGGACGGCGAGGACTGCGCTGCCTCTTGTCAGAAGGCCACGCCCCATCCCACGGTCCGTATGTTGCTGCTGATGATGACTGCTGTTGTCATCACTGTCATAGCAACACCACAACAATACACAGTCTCTCTCCTTCCCATCTTTTCGGGGTTTTCTGGGCAGATGGGCAGGGTTGAAGGTTCCGGCCTCGTCAAAGAGCTTTCGGAATCGGAGAAGCAGATGATCATCTGCAACCTTAGTTCAGTGCGAGGCAGGAAAGAGCCTTGAGGCCAAGATTCCAAGGACCTCAGAAAGATGTGGTCCGCTGCTTGCGGAGTCGACGGACAGTCACCCAGGTTCATGGTTCGCTGCCGGAGATCTCTGCGACAGGGCATTCGAAGGCAGGGCAGTAAAAATCAGCAGCTTCATTAACAGTTACAGCTGCTTTTCTTGGGGACCGAGGTTGGCGCTGGGGTGTGCGCTCCTTCCGACCTCAATGTGCACCTCGGCCGCGGCTTGTGTTAGGGGCGTGCTTGTGATGGTGCTTCCGTTGCTTTCGACGAAATCCCGCAAGTGCAACCTCTCTGCCGACCAAGCCTCAGGCCAAACCTGTTGCCATACCTGACCGCAGCTCGGTTACGAAGTGGCCAGTGGCAGCGCTGTGCCACAAAATGTTGCAAAGGTTTTTGTTTTTGAGATTTTCTGTGAAGTGCAGGTGCCGGAGTTGCTGAAGTGGCGCCAAGTTTCGCGACGCACCAGAAGTCCCGAGGCCTGCAGTCTGCCGGATCATTCGTTTCTTGGGGCCTCTGCTCGCAGATGTGCATGTGCTTCTGCCAGGCCTTGATACAGCACCTGGAAGAGATGGGCGGCATGGCCAGGCTCGGCCAGCGTCATTTAAGGACGCTTTCGAAGACGCAGTCACATTACAGGCTACTTTTCTAAAAGGGGGTTTGGTCGGTTGCATGTTGCGATGTTGCACATGTTGCCGTGCAGGCCTGCGTCGGTTGTGGCTTTTGGGAACAAGATGAACATGCTTGTCGGCAACCCGAAGGCTTCCTGCGCGGAAGCCTTTGGAGGCGAAACCGAGCAGAAGCTCTTCCAGTGCCTCTCGATTTGTTGAGCATGGATCCACGGCCACCACATCCGTCTGTCAGTCTGCTGTCTGTTAGTGCGTCAAACTGCCGGTACCAGCGTTTGCGTGCCAGCATTTGCGGGCTGCGCTTCAATCTGAGGTTGGCGCTGGTGTATGGTGCTGGCAAAGCGGAGAACATCCCATTTTGCCGAGAGCGACGTTCGCCGCATCGTTGGCAACAACCTGCACAGTTTGCTTCAGCACTGCCGGAGTGCAGATGCGTCCTTTGCTTTCGACGCCATGATCGTGACTTCGAACTATGCAACTAATGCCCTCCCCTGCGTGCAGCAACCTATAGCAGAGGCCATGCTTGCGCTGATGGAAGAGCTAGCGGAATCCAACATATGCGCCAACTTGAAGCGGATAGGGGGCTGTGCGCATCTGCTTGGGAATGTAATGCGCTCGCTGAGCAAGCCTCAGCGCCAGAAGTTGGTGACTCTTCTGGTGAAACTGCTGCTGGACAGTCGGGTTTCCAACAAGTTGCCGGCGGTTCGGGGACTGAAGACGCTATGGCTGCTTGATGCGCCCTGGCAAACCTATGCAGAAGCTGAGCAACAGCTGCGGACTTTCGCCCATTCCGCCAAAGAAGATGTGAGCAAGGCACATGTGCGCAAGGAACTGGCGGATCTCTTGCACAGCAGCTGAAGTCTGCTTCCCAGAGCCAACGGTCGTCAAAACCAACTCAGCGTGCTCCTGCGGCCTGCATTCGTCGTAGTCATCACCATCAGCACCATCGGTTCTTCGACGAGTCGTAATGTGTTTGTCCGCTAGTTCGCAACGGCAAGTCGTAACCGCCGCAGCCGTTCGACTCGAGTGTGCCGGTCCGTTCGCCGACGGTACACTAAGGAATGTTGGTTAGGCTGTCAACGGCTTGAGGCGGGACCGTAGGAGGCCGAGTTCCTCGAGCAGCAGCTCGTCTGTCTCCGTCAGGAAGACTTCCGCTCCGCCTCCATGTAGGCCGGTCTGCCCCTGTCTGGTATGGCACGTTTGTTTTCCGTGCTTGCCCGGCCTTCGGTTCTGGTCCGTGTCCCCTCGTGGGACACTCAGCCACTCCGAGTTGCTCATCCCCAAGCCCGACCCGGCTCAGCAGCCTCTGGTCGCGAGCAACCAGGCCCGGATGCCGCTGTGTCCGTTCTTGCTTGGTTGCAGGCTGGGGCAGCATGACCTTGCCTTTGTATATTGCTGCAGCCTCCACCTGCTCTCAAACATCCCGCGCTTTTGCATCTGTCTTTCTCTATTCCTGCCATGACCAGCTTTGGTGGACTCCATCCGCTCAAGCAGCTGGCCTGCGCATTCGGCGGCGGCGAGGAACCGGCCCCGGCCTCGCCCGTCCCGCCCGCCTGCTACGCTTCCGATGCCCCGGCTTCGGGTACGGTGGATGGTGGCGATGGTGGCTCTTCCGCGGTCCGTCCGGTCTTGCCTGCTGCCGCGTCCCGTGCTGGCGATGGTGGTCGGACTGTGCCACCCCCGGCTAGCAAGTCTTCCGGGCCCTGCCGGTGAAGCATCCACCACAGCATCCACCCACCACGGCCGGGGTGTCGGCTGCCCCTCACACCGTTGACTTCACGCTTGCTCGGACACCGCGACCTGCAACCGTTTCGCATCTCGGCCCTGACCCACACAAACCACATAACCGGTCCGGCGAGACGCCAGAGTTCGATGACAATGGCCAGCTCACGCTGAGGTGGATAGGGCCTGGGCACCTTGGGCTTGCCAAAATTAACCCGAAAAAGGTCATTGCCGCACTGGAGTCACCAGAGCTGCTAGCGACCCTGGTCGGGATACGCCTCTGGGTCCTGGAGGGCGAGGAGAGAAAGACCTCGCGAGGGGCCATTAGGGGCTAAACGGAGAACAAGTCCAATGAGGCCCTGCTAAATTTCTAAATGGCTTTGGCTCAAACGCGATCTCCTCGCGAATCAAAGCCGGGTGTCGTAGGGTAGGACGGCTTCCAACAGCGTTTGCTGTTTAGAGACTGCTGCTTCCCGCAATGGTTCCGTCATCCGGGGGGGGGGGGAGGGCGCGACTACATGACCCAGCTGAGTTTAAATACTACTTGACACGAGCCCTGTACTTTCCTTACCCAAAGTACCAGAGCGCCTCAACGTTCCTGTCTTTGCCGTTTGGGTTGACGGCAAGAAGCTTCGGTTTTGCTACGAGAAGGGAGGTTTGTGCTCTGGCTCCACGCCAGTTTGGAGAATCCATGCCATTTTGGCAAAGTGGAAGACAAACATCGCGGAGCGATAATTCTTTATTGCCACTCGTGTAAATAAGGCGAAGCTTGGCCTCGCCGTCATCAAAAAAAGAAACCTTGTGCTCGTTTTTACTTCCTGGAATTTTCAACATGGCATGTGACACTGTATGTCGGAATATCGTGCGACGATCGCATGCCCGTTGTCTTCCAGGTTCAAGCTTGGCTTGTCTGAACAGGAGTTTCTTTTTTCGAACTTGGGCGCCGGGCTCTAACTTTTGTGTGCCTGGCTTCAGCAATCCCAGTTGCGACTAGCGCACCGTGCAAGATCGCTCCTGATGAGCGGTCGGATGGCTGGTGATTCTCCTGTGCCGAACTCGGATCACTCCAGTACTAGCACTGGTGCCTTGGTTTTCCAGCGGTTCGAGAATCTTGAGCAGTACTATGGCTTGATGCATAACGAGCAGCGTGAGCTTCGGGAGCGCGTGGATCGCTTGTCTGCAGACCAAGCGCTGGCTTCTCAGCGACTTACGTGGCTTGAGCAGTTTGCACAGTGGCTGCAGAACTGTTTCGCAGGCCTCACTGCGCTTCCTCGTGCTACGATTTGAGGACCCTTACCATGCAACCGCGGCATCGGCTGCTCGTCTGATCCGGCTTCCGCAGTTCTGACCTTATCGATGCGGGGTGGCTACCCGTGTCTTGCGACTTTTGTGCATGAGGTGGCAAACACGGCTGCAGTTTTGTTTTCGGTTTGGTTCTGGCCTTGACCCTTATGCTCTCGCTTGGTGGCTTGCCAGCATGGCGCGCACATCTGCAGAATTTCTTTTGGTTTTGCTGCAGCGCTTGCTTTCTTTCTAGGTGCCACTCTTTCGCAGGCCATGGCTGAGCTCCTTCCGGCTGCCGATTTCATGGAAGAGGTTCGAACTGAGGAACCTCCTGAGGTCGCTCTGCGGTTCGGCGAATGCCTTCGAGATCAGATGGCGGCTGGGTCTGCACCGCACTCGGGCCCTCTTTCCCTCGCTCTCTTGGAGAACCGGTTGGATTTGCTGCGGTCTTCGGTTTCTGACAGGATTTCGTTCTGCTTGGAGACCACGAGCCAGGTCTCCCACAAGCTTTCCCTGATGCAGATCCAGGGCACTGCTCACGCTGCCGACCTCGCCTTCTTGAAGGGGCGCATTGACACGGTCGAGTCCCTGGCCAAGCACGTTTCTGGATGTCAGGGCTCTCTACGCCATGATGCAGGGAGTCTGTGGGAGACTCGGTCATCTCGAGGATGGCGCGCTCCCAGGAGCGCAGGATTGTTGCTTTGGAGAGGCGGCTGGCACAGCTGACACGTTCTTTTCACATGTGCTGGGAGCTTCTTCTCAGGGCCTCATTAGCTTTCTTTTGGGGTCTGAAGTGCTCCTTCAAGTGTGGTTGTTCAAGTGTCTCTGGCAGTTTCTCGTAGGCTGTGGCAGGGCGTTGCGCCCAGACGGTCGGCCACAAGTTCATGAATGACCTTTGTCGCTTGGTACCTTCGCCAAGCAAGCCACCTCCACTCTTAGAAGCAGGGCTGCAAGCATCGTGCAATTCATGAGGTGGAGCAAAGCAACCCCACGGCCAATCTGTTTTGTTTCCCTACCAGGAAGCCGTTCTCTATGATTACATGTGCTACCTGTGCGCAGCCCTGGTTTTTCACAAAAGTGCGCTGACGAACGATGTCATCCTTCAGCAGCGTTTTTCACTGCTCCCGAATCGTGGCGACCTCCTGCTGCGTGCGCACGTGAAGGAGCACATCACACGCAGGCGCCCAAGGAAGGCTAGGAACAAGAGTCCTGGCTCCGAAGGATTTTGCGGCGCAAAGACTCATCCCCAGATTGGGCAAGCTGAGCCAATTGACACATGAGTTTCCTGAGAGTCCGTAACGCAGGAGAGCTGAGAAGGTCTTACCCTGATGATGGAGGGAGGCTGCTACAGGCCACCAATGCTGACTTCGCAAGACAGTCTGGGTGCCGGGCTGAGTAAGGCAGGCCTCAGCAACGTCACGTCAGACAAAAGTCGCCAGCCTTCATCAACATCCCCCGCTTGCATAGCCTTCCAGAAAGAGTCCAAATTTTGCTGCGAAAACACAGATGCAATGATTTCTTGCGGCTCGTCATGAACTTTATTCCTCCTCGGCATAACCAAAACGCGGGGACCGAAAAGGTAATGTCATAGCACACCGAGGCATGATCAGAAATGCCCACTTCAAAATGAGAGACTTGCTCAGCAGCAAGGGACCAGTGGCAACATCCACGATCAATGCGACGCTTGCGACCCGGGCCCGTAGCAGGGAGAGCTGCGCCCCTGGCCGCATTGGGTGGGCTCGAGGTTGAAGTCGCCAGCCACAATGAAAGGAAACCAGCTGGCGGCGCAGGCAGCCAGTGCGTCAGCAGCCTGGGCAGTCGCAGCAGGAGCATGTCTTGATTGAGCAGAAAAGGAGACGACAATGACCTGCAAAGGACCGTCCGCAGCTTCAAAATCAAAGAGGCCAGATGCACAACGATGTGTCGCTTTGCCCTCGGCAAACTGAAAGGGGCGGAAGGGGATCTGGCTAATTAAAGCAACCCAACTTACACCCGAACTCTCAACAGGCGAGAGTGAGGCATAAAAGCCTCGAGTCTTCCAGGCCTTGAGGAAGCCTGGGGCGGATGATGAGTTGATATCGGCTTCAGCAATGGTACACACTTGCAGTTGGTTGCAGTGCATGAAGTTAGCCACGACATCAACAGACGACACAGCCTTGCCTGCCAGGTTTAAGGTGGCTAACCTGATGAAAACGGCAAGCGGAAAATTACCGTAGCCTGGTTTAGCATCTCCTGCTCACGCTTCTTGCTGGCCCTTCTGGAGTGTAGAGGTCATGTTTGGCACGCAATGCGGTGATGGCATCAACCCTCCTCTGTGCCTTGCTCTTCGCTATAGTCCTGCAGCAAAGACCCCTTTCAGCATGTGAAGTGGCAGCGGGTCGGCAACGCTACGAAATGGGGACGAGCATTCCCTGCACACCCGCCAACCAAATGAGGACTTGAGACCTCCGCGCTTCTTGAAAGCTTTCTTAGGACCTGCCCGCGGCCAGCAAAACAACTGGAAGCCTTCAAGAGCAGTACTCCTGGCGGCGGCGAGCCGCTTGATACATTCGCGGCCTCGTCTTGTCACACCTGCTTGTGCTAGGGTTCCCCGGCGGTCAAGCGAACCTGATCCAGGGGACAGTGGGGTGTGCATCGGCCCTGTGTTGTCTTTTGTCTGCTGTCAAGGCGTCGGCGCATTTGGCGAAAGCACCTTTCGCCCACACCCCGTATTCAAAAATAGGACATTTCCAATGAAGCATGCTACCGTCGGGGGAATGATGGATGGCTGTCGCTGACCAAGCGAAACACCAGAGGGGATAAACCCGGGATGACTCTTTTAGTGATCATAGAGCTTAGCCTTCCTGGCAATG